CTGTTTTTCTTCTTGTTGTTGTTTGTGTGTGAATGTGTGGTTTTTCTTTCTGTTATCGTACATCTCTGAGAGGCAACGGAGCGTTGACGGATGGGAAGGTGAGCCCGCAGGACGTCTGTGACGCCTTCAACTAACTGGGAAGAAAAGGATCCGTCGGACGGCAAACAGGTGGCCTTGGATTGACTGACACACGTCTCTGTTGATCGAGACATTTAACCCAAACCAAACAACGTCGACCGGAAGAGTCCTACTGTGCTGTGCAATGAGCTCTCACAGTGGCTTCTCTGGCGTTGGACCGCATTGGCAGCAGCTGCCATGGTATTTAAGGGCTGCTCTGGCACCGGCGTGCTGGGAAACCCACTCGTGGATGGGCACAAGGCCAATGACCTTTATGTGGAAGAGTAGCAGCGGATGGTAACGATCATTGCAAAATACGTCACTGTGCATTGAGAGCGATGGTTCCGTGGTGTACGACCCAAACTATCGGCCCAAGCACAGCAAAACTAATTTACATGGCACCATATGACGGTACGGAGAAGTATGGTCCTGTGGAGCAGCCCTTTGGGCCCACTTGCGCAGGTGTGGTGGGTTTGGGCATCTTTGTTGTTTGCGTGGTTATGGCCGTCATGCGGTTGCTGTTTGATGTCATGTGGGGTGCAGCCATTAACGCCGCGGCTGGGAGTTGTGCCTATTTTTTATGTATCAGTCAATTCCTCTTCTACATTTTTTCCTCGAATGACGAGCACTACTTTGGGCATTTTATTTGACGGTCTCATTGGCGGCACCCTCCCGTTTATTCTGCTGGGGGACATTTACAGCGGGTTTGTTCTCATGATCGTGCAACTCGTCAACGACAGCGGGGTGTCGGTGCATATTTTTGTAGCGATTCGTCATGTTCTCCGCCGTCTCCTCGTTTCTGATTTTGTTTATCCTCATATTTTGTGGTGGCGATGCAGGTTCAGGAGGCGTCAGCGATTCGCGCCCCCATCCTCAATGGCATGCCCTCTCAGCAGCCCCCTCGTTACGTCCCACGCACAAACAACATCGCCCAGTACATTTTCTCGTATCTCCGTCACTTCACTGTTGAGTTTGTAATGGGCGTCAGCTTCGCGTCGTACTACGCCATCACATGTTTTGTCCGCGGCATGATCGGCTACGGCTTCTACCGCTCCACCGAGGTGTGCCACGGGATTCCCATCGTGGTGCTTGTGCCGGTCGCCCTGCGCTCCATGCACTTTCCGCGGTGTTACATTGGCATCACCGCGACGCAGAGGATACGTCAGACAGACCGCACAACGCGGCGGGCGGGACGGTGCTACGTGCAATGGGAGTTATACGCGCACGTCGAGGAGTTTTACAAAGACGCTGACACCCATGCCCTCTACAGTAGCAGTCAAACACACACAAACAACGACAATGGGGGGGGGGGGGTAAAAGAAGGGGCCAACGGTGCCAGTGCCGGGGGGGCTGCATGCGGTCCCATTTTATTATTTCATGGTGTGGCACTGCACCGCAGCGATGTCGCCTACGCGTGAATGAAGGAGTATCTCCTTCCACTTATATGTCTTTCCATATGTAGGTGCGGTGGGCGGAGTAAATGTTGATGTTGTACTTCTTCTCACCCTCCTGTTCTTCTATTTTTTCTTTTTTCCCCCCCAATTTCTCTCTTCATTCCTCCCTTTGCCCGGATGCACCTACTGCTGGGCGATGCCGGCAGGGACGAGGCGGATGACAACAAGCGAGGGAGTGGGGTGCGTCACGGGCCATATTCTCACTGTGGGACACCCCACGGACGCAGAAGTAAAGCTGCAACAAAAATAATTTTAGTCACTCCACTAACACACACACACACACACACACACACACACATAAAGATACACATTTCCTCGGTTCAATCTCTGTAAATATCCATGTGTGTGTGAGTGTGTATGAAAGAGTGAGAGAGCGAGGGAGATGTGAATAGAGACACATACACACTGCTTTTGTGTGTGTGTGGGGAGGGAGGGGAGGGGAGAGGGGTGTGCATTCGTTTCGGTGCCTCTTTCTTCGGGAATATTCACGTACTTGTAGTAGTTGCGTGTACGCATGTGGCCTCATGTGTCTGTTCGTTCTTCTACTTGTTGTTGTTGCTGGCGGTTCAAAATGTTATGTATGGCCGTTGTTTTTCCCTCTCTCTCCCTCATGGACGTGGAACGAGGGAGTGTCTCCCTTTTCTCCTTCAAGCATATATACACGCAAAGGCCCCAGGGGCGGGTTATTGGTGGAGCCGAGGCAATAAGGGGGCGTGTGTGAGTGTGTGTCGGTTTTGTGGTTGGAGTCGATGCATAGGAGTAAAATGAAGGTGGTGGTAAAAACCTTTGGAGCCGCCTTCTCTGTGGCCGTCATACCCGTATTGAGGGACAACTACACGTACGTTATTCACGACCAGGCCACAAACGCGGTGGCGGCGGTGGACGTCTCCGCCGACACCGCTCCCGTTTTGGACTACGTGCAGCGTCTCAGCAAGAGCACTAAGAAGGGCGACGCTGGGGAGGTGAGATTCAGCACAATCCTCAGCACCCACAGACACGTGGATCACACAGGCGGCAATATCGCGCTTCTGAAGAAGCTGGGCTCTAGCGGCACCTTCAACATCATTGGGGGTGTGAATGACAACATTCCAGGCGTCACGCAGACGGTGCGTGAGGGTGACCGCGTTTCACTCGGTGCGCTGCAGGTGGAGGTGCTCGACGTGCCGTGCCACACGCGGGGCCACGTGCTGTACAAAGTCTACCACCCAAAGTCTGTGGGCGACGGGGTTGCACTCTTCACCGGCGACACTTTATTTGTTGGCGGCATTGGGGCCTTCTTTGAGGGCGACGCAGCGCTCATGTGCCGGGCAATGCGGAAGGTGTACGACCTGCACCAGGGCGCCAGCGACAGGGAGGCGGCGGAGCACCGCATTTTTGTGTTCCCTGGGCACGAGTACACCGTCAATTTTCTCGAGTTTACGCGCGCCGCGATCCCACCCACCCATCCCGACGCCGCCTTTATCGCGTCGCAGCTGGAGCGCTACAAGGAGAGCGTGGCACAATGCACGCCGACTGTTCCCAGTTCCCTCGCTGAGGAGAAGCGGCAGAACCTCTTCCTGCGCACCTGTGACACGTCATTTGTGCGGGAAATGAGGCACGGCGACACCGCGGAGGCGCTGATGCAGTACCTGTACGACACCTGCCCCTGAGGCGCGAGGATGTGCAACGAAGCAACGACAGTCAGCCAACAGCAAAAACAGACAAGAAACCAAAAATAAATAAATAAATAAATAAAGCGCGGGAAGCGATGAGTGATGGTTAGAGCAGCGCGAAGATGTAGATGTTTGTTTTTGTTTTTGCTTGAAGGGACTAATGTCTTTTGTTTTTTTTCATTTTTGGCGTCGTTGTAATTATTATTATTTTCGTATTACCCGCTTAGTTCGTGAGAACTGCGGATGGGCGACTGCCCCCTGCTCGTGTCGCAGTGTGCCTCCCCCCGGGGCCAGCTGTGCGTCCTCGTCTTTTATCTCTCTCCTTCTTTGAGCTCTTTTTTTTCTTTTTTTTTGCTCTTCTGGTGCTGGCTTTCCCCCTTCACACACGCACACGTGGCCCGCTGCCTTCGTGCACCGATTACATGCCTCATCGTACTGCAGCCTTGCGTCCGCACAGTCAGGAGGAGGAATGTCGCAGATGCTCGCGCGGCTGCTGCCGGCGCTCCTCCGGCACCTATCAGGAGATACTGTGTTTACCGCACACAACCACAGCGGCGACGAGGATGTAAGCAGCGCCCATGCGGTGGCAGAAGAGGTGAGGAAAGCAGAAAAGAAGCAGCAAAGCAGCCAGAATGGAGTTGAACCAGAGAAGCTGCCACAGCAGCAGGACCACGCGTTTCATCTTCGTCAGGCCTGGTGCGGTGGTGAGCTGCACGGGCAATGCGGTAGTAGCGGGATGGTTGGCAGTCGTAGTGGTAGTGCTGATGTTGCTGCTACTGCAGCTGGTGTTGGTTGGCATCGTTGTAGCGCCCAGCGCTGGCGGCGTTGTGTGGAGTTGTGGCGTCATCTGTTGGGTTCAGACCGACTGTTTCTTGCGCTGCTCTTCCACAGCGGTGCTCTGTGGGCAGTGGAGTGGTGCCCGTCGGTATCCTCACCAGCCCCAGATGCCGCCGCCACAGGCACGGAGGCGCCACGATCGTGGTCAAAGTCTGTCGTGTGGTTTTTGCAACTTCACGAGGAGACGGCCACGCCTGTGAAGGTTGACGGCAGCACGAGCCTCGCTGCCTCTGCCGTTGCTACCACCAGCGGCAGCAGCACTACGGAAGGCTGCAAGGGAGAGACAGGCTCCGCGCCACACATGTATGCAGAGGACGAAGTGGTGGTGCAGCGTACGGCGATGACGCTCCTGAGCGAGTGGTTTGCGATAGTGGATCGCTGCGGGAAACGGTTTGCCCGCGCCTACTACTTTTCGTGTGCGCTTAAGATCGCCGCGCTTGTTGGGAACTTGGCGCTAGTGGAGGACATTCCCCACCTGCATGATATTGTGCTGCAGGAGCCGCGTTCCGTTGCGCAGTTCACCACATTCTGTAGTATTCTGTGCTGCCTCCTTGTGGAGGAGGCACAGCAGCAGCAGCCCTTCCGCCTGCAACTTCCACCGCCATTTTTTCTTCTGAATTTTAACCTCATTGGTCGTGGCTCTCGCATTGGTGTATGGCTACCGCGAAAACTAACCGGTGACATGACCGGAGTCTCAAGACACGGTGCAGCCGCCGCCAGTGGTGGTAGTGGTGGTGGCGCATGCGCTCAGGAAGCCCAGTTTCACTCCTGTGAGGTGTGCTCTTTTGGCGTCATGCTACGCGTGCCACCTGCCTCTGCTGCATCAGCCTCGGTGCCTGCCACGGGGGACCTCATACTTGGTGTGCGGCTCCTTGATGAGGCGTATGTGCAGGTGATGGATGTGCTGCCGATAATGTGCTACGATGCGGATGACGTTGAGGTGGCGGAGAAGAAGGAGGAGGAACATGACAATAACAAGCCCTCGTTGAATAACAGTGAGGACGGGCGTGGGCAGCAACTTTGCATCCCTCCTGAGCGTAAGCGGCGAGGTCGTGGTCGGCGGCCCAAAGCCATCACCACGACCGCCGATGTAGCACCCTCGCCGTGTCGGTGCTGGTCTGCTTTCTCTCCGCTCACGCAGGGCTACGTGCGGGTGGATCTGCTCCACCCGCGCGCCGTTTCCGCCATTGTTCCGCCGATGCCAGCATCATCGCCCTCTGCCTCCACGGGAGGGCCTGGGCGACGCCGGAGCCAGCGGCTTCACCACCCACAGCCACAGTCACATGAGGAGGCACCTACCGGCACCGTACCTCTGCGTCGGAGTTCCTGCATTACGGCGCAGCGAGACCCGCTCGCAACGATAGTGTTTGCCCTTGCGACAACGGCGCGTCGTCTCATCGGATGTCGTGGTCTTTTTTTGGAGCCACCATGCAAGCCCTCGCTGCCCACGGCAGCCGCGGTCCACAATGCGGACACTGGAGCAGAGGACGGAGTGGGGGGTAAAGGGAAACACGCGAGGGGCCCACGTGATGTTGGTGGCGAAACAACTCAGAGACGGGCGTGGGGTACGGCGGATGAAACACACTCCACCGCCGCCGATAGGGTTTCCACCGGGGCTCTCGCCGCACTTCATACTGTGGAGGAGGAGCTGGAATGCCTTACCGAATGTGCGATTCACCTTTTTCTGGAGGCGATGCTTCTGTGTCGTGCGCTTTCGAGCGAAGTGGTGCCGCAAATCGATGCATGGGCGATGGAGGTGGCGTCAAACGCCGTGGATCTCGCTCTCGCCACTCCCCAGCCTGTTTCACGGCATCTGCACGCCGTTGGGTACGTCCTCTGTCTCGTACCACATCCGCATCAGTCGCTACTCGTCACTGTAGGCCTCTTTGCCACTCTCGCCCAACGCCAGCGGGAGGGTAATAAAAGCAGCATTAATGCCGGTCATGCTATTGGCGGTCACGTTGGCGGGGGCGAAAAAGAACGCATGCGGCACGGCAACGTTGCTTCCACCGGGTGGTGGGATGTGTTCAAGGTGTGCGTGTTGAAGGACGCTGTCATACCGGGCCAGCTGTGTAGCGGCACATGGGAGCTGGTGGAGCGGGTGGAGCGGTCGCTGCGCGTCACCCCGCATGTGCGCCTTCACAGCAGACAGCAGCAGCAGCAGCAACAACAACAACAACAAGACGACGGCAACACCATTCAAACAGCCAACGAGGAAGGCAAGCTTCGGGATCGGGTGCCTGCAGCAAGTGAGGAAGCGACACCGTGCCGTAGTCGTCTGGCGCTGCAGTGCCCCCGGACCAGTGTGGAGAATGATGGACCTGTGAAGAAGATGAAATCCGAACTACAGCCAGTACCGGTGTGGGTCCGGGCCACCAGAGTTGTGGAGGTCGGTACGCAGAAGCGTGATTTGTCGCTTCGGGACTGGGTCATGGCGATGTGGTGGTCATTAGAGCGCGCCGCCGCGGACGCCGTCTGAACTTTGTCGTCTCTTGGCAGTCAACATGGAGACATCATCCTGTGCGTCTTCTGCTGCTGCTTCTTGCTTTTTCGATTATATTTTGTCGTGGGCAAAAAGGGAAGCATGTGTGTGCGTTTGTGCCCATGGTTGTTTGTAGTGGTGTTTTAACGTGCAGTTGCCATGAGCAATAAACGTTTTCTTCCTTACCTTTTGAGGCTTCCTTCTTCTTCTTGTCAGTCCCACCCTTGTTTCTGGCACCGCCCTTCTCCAGCTCGCTTCATCTTTGTTTTTCGTTGTTAGTTTCTCTGCCGCTGTCTAGGTGTGCTGAAGCGCACCCACGAAAGGGGAGGAGGTAGAAGCAGCAAAATTAAAAACAAAAAGGAAGGGAAGGGAAGGGAAGGGAAGAGGAAGTAGGAAAACCGGTACGTGTGCCGGTGGAAGGGCGAGAGCAACCGTGCAGGCTCACACGCACATGTCACGCCGTGTTTGTCCGGCTCCTCGCCGAAGCGGCGGGAGCCGCCGTGTCTCGTCCTCGTCCGCAAGGCCTCTGCTTTGGCTGCTCTGCGCCGTCGCGGCCGTATGTTTTTGTCCCGCAGCAGCCCTGGCAAGTGTGGCGGAGATTGCCGCTTACTTCGACGCCATACGCGAAGCCAACGCGGGGATCTTCGCGGGTGCCGTCGTCACGTGGGACGGGAACGGCATTGACGCCGGCGCGACCACGGCGCTCGGCAACCAGGCGGTGGTTGGCAAAACGATTCCAATGAACCCCGCCGCGAGCTTCCGCACAAACTCTTTGTCAGAGCTGTTTGTGGACATGACGGTGGCGCACTTGGAGAGCGCGAATTTGCTGCCCTTCCTGCGCAAGCAGGCCATTCCCCCAAAATTTTTGCCGCCGCCGTACGATACGGCAGCGTTTCAAAATCCGCTCTTCCCTGCCGCTGTTGTCTCGCTCGACACGTTGCTGCTGCACACCTCTTCACTCACCGAGGCAGGGTTTGAGAGTGGGGCGGCGCAAACGCCTGCAACGGTGATAGAGAACACCGCCTTCATCGAAAGCGTCTTTTCCAAGGCACAGAATGGCGTCCTGTGGGGCATAGTGGAGCCGGGGCTTGGAAGCAGCTACTGCCACTCTCGACTCAACACGGCGTTGGTGACGTACATTCTCGACAAGGTCCTCGCGGCGAGGAACCCGCCGGTATCTGTCGCGACGTTTATACAAAATACGTTTATTTCCCCGATGGGGCTCAGTGGCACATTCCTTCTTGATCACGAGGGTAACGTATCGGCGCCTGCCTATCCCACCGGCGGCGCCGTGTCTCTGGCGGGACGCGCCGTGCAGGATGTCACGGCTGATGGTAGCAAGGTATCGCCGTCCGTCACCATCCACGCCGCCTACACCGCCGACTACATGTACTACACCACCACACTAGACCTTGCGAAACTGGCGTACGAGCTCTTCCTTGGTGGCCACTACACCGTCGTTGGGGAGGCCTTGAAAACTGGCGCTGTCCGTATCGACAGTGGGAAAGGCGCTGGACCCGGCGTCGTCTCGCGCTCGCTCGGTGTGTACGGCTTTGACCCAGCACTTCTTTGTGAGGAGGTGCAGATGAACCGCACCTGTGACTTTGGCGATGCCGTGCAACTCTACGGCTGGGCGGTGACTGGGGACCGTAATCAAGTCACACTGCTCTGCCGTGAGGACAAGTGCGTGGCTGCCGAAGTAAGCTACTTCAAGACGAATACCTTTCTACACCCTTACGGTTTAGGGCTCGCCATGACTCCGCTCATTCAAAGTGGAAGGTCGCACCTGCCTCAGGGCGGTGAACTTCACGCCTTCTACGTCTTTATCGGTGTCATGGCAACACTTATCGTGGTCGTCCTAGCGAGCTACATTGTGGACTACATGGTGCAACTAGCCCCGGCGACGGCGTCCATCCCAGTGAACAAATCAAACACCACGCCGCTACCGATGAATGGTTCAGGGCCGGGATACACACCCATGCCACCGCGCGAGCAGACAAGCTACGCCACACTGGGGATTTCCTCGCCTGTGCGACGCTTAGACATGTACGAGTAGAAGTCTGAGAGCAACTCGGGAAGCGGCAGGACATTTTGTGTGTATGTGTGTGTGCGTCCATTTTTATTTTTTTTTACTCCTGATTGTAGATGGCGCCAACTGGTGCTGAGGATGCGACGCCTTACCACTGCATTTGTTTTGTTCTTCCGCTTCTGCGTTGCCTCTGCTTCCTCCACTGGTATGGTGTGCGAAGGCACGGGAGCGGGAGGGTGTGGTCAAACAGCGCGGCGTGCGGGGGAAGAACCATCGCACCCCACCGATGCTGCACAAGCCCGCCCTCTCAGGAGCCGCGTGGATTGGGGTGGGGGTGGAGAGAACGGAGGTGCGGGATGTTTGCCCTTCGCTTCTTTTGTTTACAGCAATAGAGAAAAAAGGGAGGGGAGGGCGGGGCAGACGCGGGTGGGTGGAGTACGAGAGTGGGGTGGGTGAATCTCTCTTGGTGTTTGTTTTTCTTTTCTTTTTTTATCATTTATTTATTTTGATGCTTCTATCGATGCCACTCTCGTTTTCTGCCTTCGCTTCGCTGTTCTTTTTTTTTTTTTTCGTCACCGTCCCTCATGGGCCTTTTGTGTGTGAGGCCAGCGGAGCGCAAATCTTGACGTCTCCTCGTGTGCTTCACTCCGGTTGCTAAACCCACAGAGAAACGCAACTCACCGTCGTACCGCCTACGCATGTGAAAAAGAAATTTGTGCTCCCTCCGTCCCGTGTTGGCGAAGGGGGTTTAAGGCCCGCGCGTACGTTTTGATTTGTTGTATTTTTAATTTTTTTTCACCCCGCTTTTGGTCCTGTTGCACTCCACCACGACACACACGCACACACGCACACGCATTGCTACACATGTATACACAAGGCAAGCACTACAAATTTATTTATATTTATATATATAAATATAAAGCTTCACCTCACGCACTTCACCATTATTTTTATCTGACAAACGCGATGACGTTTGACGCCACACCAAAAGCAACATAAATATATATATATATTTACATGAAAATTCCCAACAGTATTCGCGACTAAAACAAAACGACCATCAACAAAAAAAAAAAAACAATAACCACAGACAAACAAACCAACACCCCTTTTCTCACTCAGATAACTATGAGTTAAAAGTGAAGCACGTGAACATGTCGTTCCCAACCGGCCGCTGCGTCCAGACCTCCAGCGGAGTTTCTGCTATTCTCACGTGCGATGCCACGTCCGTCGTCGAGAAGCTCTTCCCGCTGAGCTCGGACTGCACCGGCCTGGCGCTGCCAGTCCGCGTGCCGCTCAACAAGTGCTTGTCGTTTTTTGTCGGCTCCGTCCAGTTCCTTTGCGGCTCCAGCGCCACTGGCCAACCGGTTGAGGTGGACAAACTAAGTCGCTACCAGGCATACCAAGGCTACCATCGCCGCCTCTGAGGAAACTCTTTTGTTTCCGATGTTTTATTTCGCACGTTTTCATTTAATTATTTTTGTTTACTATTTGGCGGGCGGCATTGCGGCGCGGGCTGGGCGAAAGTGTCCCAGCGGAGGAGGGGGTGGGTTTTCTGAGACGT